TGTGTTTGGACTGTGGGGGAACCCAGAGGAAACCCACGCCAACACTGGGAGAACATGCAAACTCAACACTGGAATATCAACTTACCCAGCTGGGACTCAAACCAGCAACCTTCTTGCTGTGAGGCCACCGTGCAACACCACTACGCTACAGTGTCTCCACTGCAACACATTATTATTATTTAATGTTTGATATTTGGATTGTGTAAGTGCACAGGAATATGTCTGTAGATGGTTTCACATGAGCTCCTCCTGAAAGCGGGTTGATGCATGACTGACTCAATACAACACTAAATCATTAGCGTGACACAGAATACAGCAGTTTCACAGTTTATTACGCCTGAACTACAGCAGGAATGTGATGTGCTCATGATGGTTTCTACTGTTCGTAATCTGACAACCTCCTGAAAGATGAATCTGACAGCATACGGCAAATGTTTCCACACGGGAGTAAAATCGAAAAGGGAAAAGCTATTGCAGTAACTGTGATTGCACTTTTGTCATGTCCATGCCATGCATTTTTTTGTGCTTTACAGAGCCCCTATTGTGCATTATAAAAGGCTCATGTTTTGATTTTGGGGGGTTTTCCAACAACAGTCTGAATTACTGTTACTTTTATTTTGTAATTAAATTACGCAACGTCATTACGTGTAACTAGTTACTCCCCAACGCTTGTTACAAGTAACAAAACACAATTAAATACATAAGCTGCGTCCCAAATCGCATACTTATGCACTATTCCTAGCCATTTTGAAGTTTAAATAGTGTAAGTAGTGTGTTTACACTGAAAACTCTAATAATAATAAGTGCACTTTAATTACCCGGATGATGCACTCATTCAGCTGGTAAAGTGAAGTGTGTAATGATGGACACTTCACACACTCAACGACCGCAGGTTTGCTCATGTAGTGGAAGGGGCGGAGCTATCAGGCGCACATGTTGAATAACTATATTTATTTTGGATGGTGAAAGCAAAATTCTCCTACAAGAGTGATTATAGCGCCTCCCGATGGTGAATGCGGTTATACTCACGGCAGGTATTATTTGATAATTTGGTCCTTTATTTGACTGATTTGGCAACCGTTAAACGTCATCAGGGAAACGGTTTGAACTTCTGCTAAGTAAAAAACTAAGTTGGCCATTTGGGACGACACTACATACATATACTATCCTGTTGAGTGTGTAAGTGCATAAGTTTATAGTGCATAGTGTATACTGTGCCATTTGGGACGCAGCTAGCGTTTGCAAGCTAGAGAAAACAAAGAGGCAGACATTTTAATTGCACTTAAGTTACTAACACTTGTGAAACACATCAGTAGTCTTTTCTGATCCTTCCTTTAACAACCGGCCGATGAATCCACCGTTGTAGATTCCAGAAGCACTCGTCAGAGAAATGACGAGAACACAGCACAAGGCTGGGGCGATAATGCTGAGGTATTTCTGCAGAAATAATCTTCACCCACTGACTCTTCACAGCTGCATTTTACGTTAGGGAAAATAACACTAACTGTCCCTCACACTTTAGAGCACAGCGACTGCATGACACGATTCAGCCGGGATCTGCTGCAGTGTTTGTCTTCCTCCTCTTCTTTCTAAGGTGTTTGTGGGTGGGGCCGGGGGTTTCATTTTCCCGGGTCTGTGCGCTCAACAAATGGGCGAGGCTTGACGTCACGCCGACACGGCTAAAGATTCATTACCCAAACGATTCATATAAACCACTCTGAGTCAACTCTTTAATAGATGAATCAATAGTTTTAAACACGGTGCACTTACAGATTTACCCTGAGCTGGATATTTCACTTCACTCAAAGCTGTGTTACACACTAATGAAGATCATTCTCAAACACCCATAATAATTAATTCAACAAGACTGTATGTATACCCATGAATATTTTCAATGAAAACTATTTTATTATTATCTTACTTCCATATTTTCTGGTTGATGGTGATCAGGAGATTATGACAGCAGTGTGTGACCCGTCACAATAGACCTGCGTCTCATTTTTGGGTCGCAGTGTGTGTTATTCTAGATTTGGACATCGTCACCTCAGGCAGTCATTAATGACGTTAGTCTGTCTTTACTAGACCCCATCTCTGATTAAAACACTATTTATATCAGTGTAATCCCCATTACACACTCCTCAGTGCGTCTGAACAATGAAGAGCGCCACTGAAAACAGGAGAGGAGGTGTGTGTGTGTGTGTGTGTGTGTGTGTGTGTGTGTGTGTGTGTGTGTGTGTGTGTGTGTGTGTGTGTGTGTGTGTGTGTGTGTGTGTGTGTGTGTGTGTGTGTGTGTGTGTGTGTGTGTGTGTGTGCGTGTGTGCGTGTGTGTGTGTGTGTGTGTGTGTTTGTTTGTAAACACCTCAGTCATCTTCATCAGTGTGCTGTTATAGGTCTGACTGATGAGGGCAGAGTGTAATGAGAGTGAGCAGTAATGGGGTCAGTGTAATCAGATGTGCTGAACTCCATCACATGTTCATTTACTCTGATTAGAATCAGCACTGATGTTCACAAACACCTTCCTGATCTTCACACCCAGAACACACTAGCAACTGCATAGCAACACCCTGACAACCACATAGAACATTCTAGCAACTGCATAGCAACACCTTGACAACCACATTCTAGCAACTGCATATCTCTAACAACCTCATAAGCATTCTATCAACTGCATAGCAACACCCTGACAACCACATAGAACATTCTAGCAACTGCATAGCAACACCTTGACAACCACATTCTAGCAACTGCATATCTCTAACAACCTCATAAACATTCTAGCAACTGCATAGCAACACCTTGACAACCACATTCTAGCAACTGCATATCTCTAACAACCTCATAAACATTCTATTAACTGCATAGCAACACCTTGACAACCACATTCTAGCAACTGCACATCTCTAACAACCTTATAAGCATTCTATCATTTCTATAGCAACACCTTGACTACAAGGTAGGACATTCTAACAACTGCTTAACGTTATCCTAGCAACTGTATAGCAACACCCTGAACATTGCCCAGCGTTAACAAATACATAACAATTTTACTAATAATAATAGTCATATTTTTATATGAAATTATTATTATTATTAAATATTTGGTCGTCACTGTAGCGTAGTGGTGTTGCACTGTGGCCTCACAGCAAGAAGGTTGCTAGTTCGAGTCTCGGCTGGGTCAGTTGTCATTTCTGTGTGGAGTTTGCATGTTCTCCCCGTGTTGGTGTGGGTTTCCTCCGGGTGCTCCGGTTTCCCCCACAGTCCAAACACATGCGCTATAGGGGAACTGATCAACTAAATTGGCCGTAGTGCATGAGCGTGTGTGTGAATAAGGGTTTGTGGGTGTTTGCCAGTACTGGGTTGTGGCTGGAAGTTGGCGGTTTATTCTGCTGTGGCGACCACTGATTAAAAAAGGAACTAAGCCGAAAAGAAAATGAAAGCATGTTTATTTGTAAATATTCAATTATATTTTATTAATTACAGTCATTGGTTTAATCGTCTTAGTAAACTGAGCGATTATTACAATATAACTAACAAAAAATTATAGTTTATAATTCATTCAATCATTTTCTTGTCGGCTTGGTCCCTTTATTAATCCGGGGTCGCCACAGCGGAATGAACCGCCAACTTATCCAGCACATTTTTTACGCAGCAGATGCCCTTCCAGCCGCAACCCATCTCTGGGAAACATCCACACACACACTCATACACTACAGACAATTTAGCCTACCCAATTCACCTGTACCGCATGTGTTTGGACTGTGGGGGAAACCGGAGCACCTGGAGGAAACCCACGCGAACACAGGGAGAACATGCAAACTCCACACAGAAACACCAACTGACCCAGCCGAGGCTCAAACCAGCGACCCAGCGACCTTCTTGCTGTGAGGCGACAGCACTAACTGCTGCACCACTGCTTCGCCTTATATTTTATAATACTTTTTTAAGAATAAATTATTTATGTAATGATCATAGTAAAATAAACAGGTAGTAGATATTTAGATGATAGATAAATAAATATACATAAAAAATAATGTCAAGGTGCAAACATTTAGACTAATAGATACTTGCTCTATAGGGGAATTGATTAACTAAATTGGCCGTAGTGTATGAGTGTGAATCTGCTGTATAAAACATGCTGGAATAGTTGGTGGGTCATTCCACTGTGGCGACCCCTGATAAAATAAGGGACTAAGCCAAAGAAAAATGAATGAATGATCACACCAAAATAAACAGGTAATAGATATTTTTCTGAGGTAAATAAGTATACATATAAAATAATGTCAAGATGCAAACATTTAGACTTTATTATGTACTTTGCACATAATACAAATTAAATTTATTGCACTTCTCTGTGATATGGATATTTCATATATAGTTGAAGTCAAAATTATTTTATTTCTGTTTCTTCTTTAAATATTTCCCTGATGATGTTGAACTGATTCAGGAGTTGTTCACAGTGTTTCCTCTAATATTTGTTCTTCTGGAGAAAGTCTTATTTGTTTTAATTCGGCTAGAATAAAAGCAGTTTTTAATAGTTTTAAAGCCATTTTAAGGTCAATATTATTCTCCCCTTCAGCAATATTAGTGTTGGATTGTCTCCAGAACAAACCACTGTTATACAATGACTTGCCTAATTACCCTAACTTTACCCTAATTACCCTAGTGAAGCCTTTACATGCCACTGTAAGCTGAACACTAGTGTCTTGAAGAATATCTAGTCTAATATTATGTGCTGTCATCATGATGAAGAGAAAATAAATCAGTTATTAGAGATGAGTTATTAACACTATTATGATTAGACATGTGTTGAATAAATCTGCTCTCCGTTAAACAGAAATTAGGGAAACATGTACAGGGGGGCGAATAATTCAAGAGGGCCAATAATCAGACTTCAACTGTACTATTATCACGATTTAGATGATTTTAATATCTAATTCTTTGATATATTGCGAGGACACTCACTCACAGTCAGAGTTACTCCAGTGAATCTGTGTTTTCAGCTGTTGTTATGCTGGTTCCTGAAGGCCCAACCGAAGATCAATTCCAGGCTCATTTTGCAAGCAACTTCCTGGGCCACTTCCCGTTGAGCCGCCTCCTGCTGGACAGCCTGGTGCATTGTGGGAAGGATGAGTCCTTTTCTCAGCACACGTGAGTGGAAAAACACCGTAATCTGGCGATCTGCAGAAACTGGAATAAATCACAGATAAGAGGAAACTGCCTGCGGGAGATTCATATGGAGAGAAGCTTCTGGCCTCTGATTGGTTACTGAAGGCGTGACTCATATGTTATATCATAAATACTGGAGGAATGTGTAGTGATGCTTTATTAATAGAGAGATAATAAAGAACCTGCTCCACTGCAGACCTCAGAGCCTTCACAATCACTTATATAAGATAACCCAACCCTGACCCAACTCTGAACGGGGTCAGTGTGACACTGGTGAACACTACAGAACCAGTCCTGCGGTGCTGGAACATGAGCGTCAGTAAATAAGATTCAATTAAATGACTTATTGGTTGGGTTGCTACAGAGATGTGCTAAACACTGATGAAAAACAAAGGTAAAATATGAATATTTGATGACCGCTTCTTCTATCTATCTGTTTACCCATTCATTCATTCATTCATCCATGCTTTGGTCCATCTACCCATCCATTGATTAATTCATTGATTTGTCCATTCATCATTTGGTCCATCAATCCATTCATTATTGAATTCATTCATTCATTCATTCATTCATTCATTCATTCATTCATTCATTCATTCATTCATCCATTCTTTCATTCGTTTGTTCATTTATTCATTCATTAATTCATTAATCCATTCATCCATCAATCCATTTATTCATTCATTCATTCATCCATCCATCCATCCATTCATTCATTCATTCATTCATTCATTCATTCATTCATTCATTTATTCATCCATTGATTAATTCATTGATTTGTCTATTCATCATTTGGTCCATCAATCCATTCATTATTGAATTCATTAATCCATTCATTCATTCATTCATTCATTCATTCATTCATTCATTCATTCATTCATTCATTCATTCATTCATTCATTCATTCATTTATTCATTCATTCATTCATTCATTCATCCATCCATTCTTTCGTTCATTCGTTCATTCGTTCATTCATTCATTCATTAATTCATTCATCCATTCTTTCGTTTATTCATTCATTTATTCATTCATTCATTCATTCATTTATCCATTCTTTCGTTTATTCATTCATTCATTCGTTAATTCATTAATTCATTCATCCATCAATCCATTCATTCATTCATTCATCTATCCATCCATCCATCCATCCATCCATCCATCCATTCATTCATTCATACTTTCATCCATCCATTGACCAACTCATCATCCATTCATCTATCTGTTTACCCATCTATCAATTGATCATTCATGCATTCATCTTTCCATGCATTCATCCATCTTTTGATCTTTCCATCCATCAATTGATTTAATTGTTTATCCATCCATCCATCCAGCCAGCCATCCAACCATCTTTTGGTCAATCAATAAATCCAGCATATGTTTTACGCAGCGGATGCCCTTCCAGCTGCAACGCATCACTGGCACCCATACACTTCCATTCATATACACTACAGATTATTTAGCTTACCGAGTTCCTCCATAGCGCATGTCTTTGGACTGTGGGGTAAACCGGAGCACTCGGAGGAAACCCACGCCAACACGGGGAGAACATGCAAACTCCACACAGAAATGACAACTGATCTATCTGAGGCTCGTATCAGCAACCTTCTTACTTTGAGGCAAAGCGCTACCTACTGTGCCACCGTGCTGCCCTCCATATGGTCATTTAATAATTAATTCATTAGTCCATTGACCAATCCATCCATTGATCAGTCCATCTATTTATTCTTCCTTTCATTCATTTATTCATTCATTTATTCATTCAATCATTCAATCATTCATTCATTCAGTCAGTCTGTCATTAATCTATTGATCTATCCATTAGTTAATTAATTAATCATTCATTAATGCCATTCATTGATCCATCCAGCCATACATCTGTTTGTCAATTCATCCACCATTCATTCAGTCAGTCAGTCTATTCAACCATCCATTCATCAATTGATTCCTTCATTCATTCATCCTTTGCTGCATCTATTTATTTATTATTTTAACCATCCATCCATCCATCAATCATAATTCAGTCATCCATTTATTTATTCATTCATTTGTTCATTTATCCATTAACTAACTCATTCATTCTGTTTACCCATCCATCAGTTGATCTATCCATTTATTAATTGATTCATTCATTTTTCCATTCATTCATATTTCCATGCATTCATTCATTCATTCCTCTAATCAATTATTCATCCATCCTTTGGTCTATTCATCCATCTATTTGTACATCAGTTGATTTATCCATTTATTCATCCACCATCATTTGGTCAATCAATAAATCTATCAATTATCAATTTTATTAATTAATTAATTAATTAATTAATTAATTAATGGATGAATGAATTAATAAACTAGTTAATCATTGATTAATTAATTAATTCGTTCGTTCATTTGTTCGTTCATTCCTTCGCTTGCTCGCTCGTTCGTTCATTCATTCACTAATTGATTCATCAATCAATTCAATTCATTCATTCATTCATTCATTCATTCATTCATTCACTCATCCATTGACCAATCCATCCGTCCATTCGTCCTTCCATCCATCCATCCATCCTTCCATCTATCCGTCCATCCATCCATCCATTCATTCATTCATCCATTCATCCATTCATTCATTCATTCATTCATTCATGCATGTATTCATTCATTCATTCATTCATTCATTCATCCATTGACCAATCCATACATTGATCCATCCATTAATCCATTCATTCATTAATTCATTCGTTCATTCGTTCGTTCGTTCTTTATTCATTCATTCATTCATTCCATTCTTTGATCCATTGTGTGTCAATTCAATCACCATTTAATCAGTGAGTCTATTCAACCATTCGTCATTTGGTCCATCCATATATCCATCCAACCATTCATCAACCAATCCATTTATTCATTCATGCATTGAAATATCCATTCATTTATCCATCCATTCATCCATCCATCCATCCATCCATCCATCCATCCATCCATCCATCCATCCATTCATCCATTCATTCATTCATTCATTAATCCTTTGGCTCAGTCATTGATTTGACTCATTCATTGATACATACATTCATTCATCCCTCCATCCATTCATTAATTCGTTCAACTATCCATTCATTGAGCCATCCATCTGTTCGTTAATCAGCCCACCCACCCACTCATCCATAATTTATTCAGTCAGTCTATTCAACCAACCATCCATCCATTCATTCATCAATGCACTCATTCATCCATCTATTAACCCATCAATCCATTGATCCATCTGTAAACCTATCCACACATCCTTCCATCCATATATCAGTCCATCCGTTCATCAGTCTGTCCATTCATTCATCCATTTTCATCAACACATATTCATGATATGCTAATATTAATGTTCCAGCCGTTGTGTTTATACTGTATTGAATATATTTACAGTGTGGGCAGGACTGCCTAATGTCATTAACACACGAGTGAAGAATAAACATGCAGCAAAGAGAAAACACAGAGAAGACCACCAAACAAACAAGTCAAGAACAAAGAGGAGGAGGTGGAGGAAGGGTGTATTGACACAACATAATTTGCATGATTAATATCCAGCTAAAATATTGATAACATATATACACTGAACAGTCAGTCATCCTGTGGTTTAAGACTCATAACTCTGCTATTTTAGCTCTGCATCTCTCAGTATTTGTTAAGATTGGGTTCGCATTATTATTTCACCCTGCCGAAGGTTGCTCTAACATTGTGTGTTTTGTCAGACAGGCTCCGTCTGCTGCCTGTTCAACACACGCACACACACACACACACACACACACACACACACACACACACACACACACACACACACACACACGTACACTTACACACCCAGAGACAGACTGTTATTGATTTCATGGTGTTATGAGCATCATGTGATATGGACATCCCCGGGAAGATGTAATAATGAAATCAAGTTAAAAATAAAAAGTTACTGAATGGAAACAGTGTTTATTCGAACTAATTTAACAATCAAAATGATCAACAATGACAATAACACTATTCAAATCATTATAAGTCATCTTGTTTAATGTTATTTGTCATTTTAGTTTGAATAAAATGTTCATCATATATTTCATGTTTTGATTTTCATGTTAGGTACAGATGTTGGGGATTTTGTTGTGTTTTAATATATTCTTTTATTTAATTCAGTTTAATTCCTTAAATTGTTTTCACATTATTTATACAAAATATTATTTACCGATCTTATCACAGAATTACTCATTTAAAAATTTAAGATTTTATTTATATTGGTACTTTAACACTTACAATTTATATTTTGTATTCATTCATTCATTTTCTTTTTGGCTTAGTCCCTTAATTAATCAGGGGTCGCCACAGCGGAATGAACTGCCAACTTATCCAGCATACGCTTTACACAGAGGATCCCCTCCCAGCCACAACTTAACACTGCTGAACACCCATACACACTCATTCACATACACACACACTCATACACGACCGACAATTTAGCCCTCCCAATTCCCCTATAGCGCATGTGTTTGGACTGTGGGGGAAACCCTCGCCAACACAGGGAGAACATGCAAACTCCACACAGAAACACCAACTGACCTAGTCGGGACTCAAACCAGCGACCTTCTTGCTTTGAGGCCACAGTGATAACCACTGAGCCACCGTGATGCCTAAATTAATATTTTTTTAAATCTTAAAATGTAGTCTAATTATAAAATAAATACTATTTAATTTCATATTTATTTCATATTTTATTTAATATCACTTATTTGAATACTAATATGGTTTAATAATCTTATGACAAATATGCCAACTGAACCAGCCGGGACTCGAACCAGCGACCTTCTTGCTGTGAGACGACAGCACCACCGCACGACCTTTTTATATATACACAGTTGAAGTCAGAATTATTAGCTCCCCTGAATTATTTGCGCCCCTTTTTATTTTTTCCCCAATTTCTGTTCTGTTCTGGGAAGATTGTTTCAGCACATTTCTAAGCATAATAGTTTTAAAAACTCATCTCTAATAACTGATTTATTTTATCTTTGCCATGATGACAGTAAATAATATTAGACTTTTATATTTTTCAAGACACTTCTATACAGCTTAAAGTGACATTAACAGGCTTAACTAGGTTAATAAGGTGAACTAGGGAGGTTATGGTAATTAGGCAAGTTATTGTATAAAGATGGTTTGTTCTGTAAATTATCAACAAAAAAAATTTGCTTAAAGGGGCTAATAATATTGTCCCTAAAATAGTTTTTAAAAAATTAATAACTGCTTTTATTCTAGCCGAAATAAAACAAAAAAGACTTTCTCCAGAAGAAAAATATTATCAGACATACTGTGAACATTTTATTGCTCTGTTAAAAATCATTTGGGAAATATTTAAAAAAGAAAAGAAAAATCAAAAGGGGGCGAATAATTCTGACTTCAACTGTGTACATGCAAATTGTGTAAGACAGATGTAAATATGGGCAGCACGGTGGCACAGTGGGTAGCACAATCACCACACAGCAAGAAGGTCCCTGGTTCGAGTCCCGGCTGGGTCAGTTGGTGTTTCTGTGTGGAGTTTGCATGTTCTCCCCGTGTTGGCGTGGGTTTCCTCCAGGGGCTCTGGTTTCCCCCACAGTCCAAACACATGCGGTACAATTAGGTAAGCTAAATTGTCTGTAGTGTATGTGTATAAATGAGAGTGTATGGATGTTTCCCAGTGATGGGTTGCAGCTGGAAGGGTATTTGCTTTGTAAAACATATGCTGGATAAGTTGGTGGTTCATTCCGCTGTGGTGACCACAGATTAATAAAGGGACTAAGCTGAAGGAAAATGAATGAATGAATGAAAGAATGAATGAATGACAGATGCATTATTTTGCATCAGTCTTGAGTCAGGAGTTTACAGTGTTTTGTTGTGGTGTTTGCAGGTGGCGTTACATCGCTAATGAAGCATGCGGATGGAGTAAACCAGCACAGCTTCTGTTCTCTTATTATCTGCACTATGCACTTGTGTCCAGCGGGTGTGCGGTGATGTACACTGCGGTGGAACCCTTTCTGGTGGACACTGTGAACCTCAGCATTACTGGACTTGCACAGAGAGCCTTCTCACGCCTCTTCATCAAGGTCAATATTTACTGTTTCATAATGTTTTTATGTTTCGTAATACATAATACACTGTGGCCTCGCAGCAAGAAAGTTGCTGGCTTGAGTCCCGGCTGAGCCAGTTGTCATTTCTGTGTGGAGTTTGCATGTTCTCCCCGTGTTGGCGTGGGTTTCCTCCGGGTGCTCTGGTTTCCCCCACAGTCCAAACACATGCGCTATAGGGAAATTGATCAACTAAACTGGCCGTAGTGTATGAGTGTGTATGTGTGAATGAGTGTATGGGTGTTTCCTAGTACTGGGTTGCAGCTGGGGGCATCCACTGTGTAAAGCATATGCTAAAATAGTTGGTGGTTCATTCCACTGATTAATAAGGGACTAAGTCGAAGAAAAGTTTAATGAATAAATAAATGAATGAATGAATGAATGAATGAATGTGTAAACTCAAAATTATTGAAATGTAAAGTATGAATTTTGATATTTAGCTGTAAAGTCCAAATTTAAAGACTTAGAAATTGCAATCTGTAAACGTAAAAATGTTACGCAATTGAGCTGCAAACTTTCATTTGTTAGTTTTAATGTCAAAATTGCGAGACGTAAAGACAAAAGTGTGAGAGATGTTAAGTCAAAATTGCAAGACATAGTCAAAATTGTGAAACGTGAAATCAAAATTGCCAGATGTATAGTTAAGATGGTAAAACAACAACAAAATTGTTAGACGTAATGTTAACATTGTGGAATTTAGTCTAAACGGTGAAATTTAACATCAAAATTGTGAGATGTGAAGTGGAAATTGTGAGACGTAAAGTCAACATTGTGAAAGGTAAAGTCAAAACGGTGAGACGTAACATCAAAACTGCGATATAAAGTCAAAATTGTGAGGTGTAAAGTTTACATTGTGAAATGTAATGTCTAAACAATGAAACGAGACAAAATTGTTAGATGTAAAGTCAACACTGCGAAATGTAAAGTCTAAGTGGTGAGACGTAATGTCAAAATTGCGTCACTTCATAATTTTGAGATATAAAATCAAAACTGCAAGCTCAAAAATTGTATAACAAAGTTAAACAGAAAGATGTAAATTTATAATTTTGTTATATTTAAAATTAAATTGTAAGACGTGAAGTCAGAAATGAAATATAGTTTAGTGTTAACAAGCCTCCTCAGGCTAAATTACCTTGAAGAATTAAATTAATTTCCTGCTGTTTGATTGTGAAGTGAAGTATAATTTGACATGTTTTTGACAGCTCTCATGTGATTCA